TTAGCCGTTATTTGGCGATAGCGGCGATTAGCCTTAGTCCCAGTTCGGGCGCGGTCGAACTATCGGTCGTGATAGTAAAAAATGCAGCCTCGTAGTTTGACCGGGGCCGAACTTTACGTGGCCCGAATCTTAATTCGAGTTGGGGGAACTTACTTGAATGGCGAGGGTGCCTATCCTGCGCTTTAATTTGTTGGAGGTCGGGCTTTGCTTTCACAGATGAAGGCGTTTGGCCTGAGTCTTGGTTCAACTGTGGTTGAACTTGCTAAAGTTGAGGACGAAGGCGTCCATCCTTGTAGTTCGAGCGAGGTCGAGCTCGTTGGATTCAATAGCGAAGGCGCATAGCCTGAGTCTAGGTTCGACCGTGGCTGGACTTACTGGTGAAGGCACGCAGCCGGAGTCCCAGTTCGACTGTTGTTGGACTTTGTTAAATTTGGTGGCGAAGGCTCATAGCCTGTCTTGGTTCAACCGTGGTTGAACTTGTTGGTGAAGGCGCGTAGCCCGTCTTGGTTCAACCGTAGTTGAACTTTTTGGCGAAGGCGCATAGCCTGTCTTGGTTCAGCCGTAGTTGAACTTGCTGGTGAAGGCGCATAGCCTGTCTTGGTTCAACCGTAGTTGAACTTTTGGCGAAGGCGCATAGCCTTGATTTAATGGCGAAGGCGCATAGCCTGAGTTCCGGTTCAACTGTTGTTGAACTTAGTCGATTTTGACGGCGAAGGCTCATGGCCTGAGTCCCGGTTCAACCGTAGTTGAACTTTCTGGTGAAGGCGCATAGCCTGTCTTGGTTCGACCGTAGTTGAACTTTTTGGCGAAGGCGCATAGCCTGTCTTGGTTCAACCGTAGTTGAACTTTTTGGCGAAGGCGCATAGCCTGTCTTGGTTCAACCGTAGTTGAACTTTTGGCGAAGGCGCATAGCCTTGATATAATGGCGAAGGCGCATAGCCTGAGNCGGGCGCGGTCGAACTATCGGTCGTGATAGTAAAAAATGCAGCCTCGTAGTTTGACCGGGGCCGAACTTTACGTGGCCCGAATCTTAATTCGAGTTGGGGGAACTTACTTGAATGGCGAGGATGCCTATCCTGCGCTTTGATTTTTCTGAGGTCGAGCTTTGCTTTCACAGATGAAGGCGTTTGGCCTGAGTCTCGGTTCAACTGTGGTTGAACTTGCTAAAGTTGAGGACGAAGGCGTCCATCCTTGTAGTTCGAGCGAGGTCGAGCTCGTTGGATTCAATAGTGAAGGCGCATAGCCTGAGTCTAGGTTCGATCGTGGCTGGACTTATTGGCGAAGGCACGCAGCCGGAGTCCCAGTTCGACTGTTGTCAGACTTTGTTAACTCTGGTGGCGAAGGCTCATAGCCTGTCTTGGTTCAACCATGGTTGAACTTGTTGGTGAAGGCGCGTACCCCGTCTTGGTTCAACCGTAGTTGAACTTTTGGTGAAGGCGCATAGCCTTGATATAATGGCGAAGGCGCATAGCCTGAGTCCCGGTTCAACCGTAGTTGAACTTTCTGGTGAAGGCGCGTAGCCTGTCTTGGTTCAACCGTAGTTGAACTTTTGGTGAAGGCGCATAGCCTTGATATAATGGCGAAGGCGCATAGCCTGAGTCCCGGTTCAACTGTTGTTGAACTTAGTCGATTTTGACGGCGAAGGCTCGTGGCCTGAGTCCCGGTTCAACCGTAGTTGAACTTTCTGGTGAAGGCGCATAGCCTTGATATAATGGCGAAGGCGCATAGCCTGAGTCCCGGTTCAACCGTAGTTGAACTTTCTGGTGAAGGCGCGTAGCCTGTCTCGGTTCAACCGTAGTTGAACTTTTTGACGAAGGCGCATAGCCTTGATATAACGGCGAAGGCGCGTAGCCTGAGTCCCGGTTCAACTGTTGTTGAACTTAGTCGATTTTGACGGCGAAGGCTCATGGCCTGAGTCCCAATACAACTGTTGTTGAACTTTGTCAATTTTGATGACAAAGGCGCATAGCCTGAATCATGGTTCGACCGTAGTTGAACTTTTGGCGAAGGCGCATAGCCTTGATATAATGGCGAAGGCGCATAGCCTGAGTCCCGGTTCAACTGTTGTTGAACTTAGTCGATTTTGACGGCGAAGGCTCGTGGCCTGAGTCCCGGTTCAACCGTAGTTGAACTTTCTGGTGAAGGCGCATAGCCTGTCTTGGTTCAACCGTAGTTGAACTTTTTGGCGAAGGCGCATAGCCTTGATATAATGGCGAAGGCGCGTAGCCTGAGCCCCGGTTCAACTGTTGTTGAACTTAGTGGATTTTGACGGCGAAGGCTCGCGGCCTGAGTCCCGGTTCAACCGTAGTTGAACTTTCTGGTGAAGGCGCATAGCCTGTCTTGGTTCAACCGTAGACTTTTTTGACGAAGGCGCATAGCCTTGATATAACGGCGAAGGCGCGTAGCCTGAGTCCCGGTTCAACTGTTGTTGAACTTAGTCGATTTTGACGGCGAAGGCTCGTGGCCTGAGTCCCGGTTCAACCGTAGTTGAACTTTCTGGTGAAGGCGCATAGCCTGTCTTGGTTCAACCGTAGTTGAACTTTTTGGCGAAGGCGTATAGCCTGAATTTAATGGCGAAGGCGCATAGCCTGAGTTCCGGTTCAACTGTTGTTGAACTTAGTCGATTTTGACGGCGAAGGCTCATGGCCTGAGTCCCGGTTCAACCGTAGTTGAACTTTCTGGTGAAGGCGCATAGCCCGAGTCCCGGTTCAACCGTAGTTGAACTTTTTGGCGAAGGTGCATAGCCTATCTTGGTTCAACCGTAGAACTTTTTGACGAAGGCGCATAGCCTTGATATAACGGCGAAGGCGCGTAGCCTGAGTCCCGGTTCAACTGTTGTTGAACTTGGTCGATTTTGATGGCGAAGGCGCGTAGCCTGAGTCACGGTTCAACCGTATTTGAACTTATTGGCGAAGGCGCATAGCCTTGATTTAATGGCGAAGGCGCATAGCCTGAGTCTTGGTTCAACCGTAGTTGAACTTACTGGCGAAAGAGCGTAGCCTGAGTCCCAGTTCAACTGTTGTTGAACTGTCAATTTTGATGGCGAAGGCTCATGGCCTGAGTCATTGTTCAACCGTATTTGAACTTATTGGTGAAGGCTCATAGCCTTGATTTAATGGCGAAGGCGCGTAGCTTGAGTCCCAGTTCACCCGTTGAACTTACTAGCGAAGGCGCGTAGCTTGAGTCCCGGTTCAACTGCTGTTGAACTTAGTCGATTTTGACGGCGAAGGCTCGTGGCCTGAGTCCCGGTTCAACCGTAGTTGAACTTTCTGGTGAAGGCGCATAGCCTGTCTTGGTTCAACCGTAGTTGAACTTTTTGGCAAAGGCGCATAGCCTTGATATAATGATGAAGGCGCGTAGCCTGAGTCCCGGTTCAACTGCTGTTGAACTTAGTCGATTTTGACGGCGAAGGCTCGTGGCCTGAGTCCCGGTTCTTGGTTCGTGGGTTTTTGGGAGCTGAAGCTCGATTTTGATTCGAGATCTTGAGCAGCTTAATCGTTATCTTCCCAACCGGGGTATGTAGGCTGTCTCGAAGCGATTCTCGATTTGAGGTTCCCCCGCGCTGGTTTCCGGCTGGAGCCCTTATCAGGGATGTGGGAGATCTCTTACGAAGATTCTCCCCAAAAGAAGGGGGGTGGGGCGTTGCTGCTTCTTCTTGTTTGCACCATTCGATAGATGAGAGACAGAGGAACTGGACCTCGATTCGAGATCTTCGAGTTTCATCGGCCTGATATGCCGCTTTGGCTTGTTTATGCGGTGTTGTTCTTCCTTTTCCGGCGTTTCTTTCCTTTTGGTCCATGGAATAACTACGCGATTTTGCTATGAAATCCCCACAGACGGCGCCAAATTGTTTGCTCAAAAATTATTACATATCTTTTGAGTGTAAAACAATACAAATAATCACGGGAAAATCATAGCAAATCGTAATAATCCGTTGGACCAAATGAAAGAAACGAGAATAAGTACTCAGAATTAGGGGGAGAAACATTCGAAACCTTTATTGATAATATTTGTTTGGTCTGCCTCTCCATGAAGAGGTTCAGAGCCTTACAATGGTGTTTTCTCTTCCCATGAGATGGGTATATTTTTCTCTTCTCTCTCCTGTCTATAGTGGTGAAGAAGCAGCCCCCTTTTCTAGGGCTTCCACTCTTAATATTTATAGATGTGAGCTTCGTGAGCTGTCAATAAATGGCCGTAGCCACGCTGAGGTTCCGTCCCCATGGGGAAATGAATGGGCCGTGCCCTCGTAGATTAAATCGGATAAGAGTCGAATCCTCTTATGAATAAGTGGCCATACCGCTTATTAATTATGGATTAGCTCAAGACGAGATTAACTCCGTTAATTACCGTGAGGTCAGATTCTGAGCCATACAGATTCAATTTTAAAGATTTTTAAGACTTATAGTAATTTCAAAATATATAATTTCAAAAATTAATATTTTATTGAAAATTGAGTAATATTTTACATATAACGTGTCAAAAATATAAGATTTAGTTGAATCCATCGTAGCTAAACTAAATCCGCTAGTGATTGAGAGAATATGAGAATCTCCATGGTCCTCCAATAAACAATCACTTTCTAATTAATAAATATCACCTATTCAAATTATTCTAGTTTTTGTTCCCTTATTTGAATCTAACTCAATATTAATTATGTGGTATCCTATTGAAATTAAAACAAATATAAAGGTTAATAATGATGGTAAATATCTCATTACAAATGTAGTACATATGGATGAAGAATACAAATAAAGGGAAAAAAGAAAAGAGAGGAAATGAAACACAACCAGACGCCGCGTCTGTTATACAAACGCGCTTCTGTTTTTTGCCATATATTGCATGCAGACTATACTACTAATACAGTCTCTCTTCCTCTCTAACTCTTCACTCTCTTCCCATATTTATCTCTTTTTATCCCCATATTTATACACATTAATTTTCCTATATTACCCAAAATTACTCCCCCCCCCCCCCCTCCCACACACCCTCTCTTCCTTCTTTTTCGTTTGATATGTTAAATAAAATTTCACACACCTTATAAAAAAATCCTTTATTTATAGAACCCAAAGAAGCTAAAACCCTTTTTCTAAGTCCACTCACATTACTGCTCAAACGCCAAAACCAAATCTTTTCTTTTGGTTTCTTGTAACGGCGATGGACCAATGGGGAAGAAGAAGCCTTTATTTTCCGGCGTCTCAACCGCAGCCGGAAGAGACGCCGGAAAATAACTCCGACCACCCACCTCGTCTGAACGGCTACCCTGAGTTAACCCCCACAAACGTTCTTCCGCTTGCATCGGCCTTTGCCGGTTTAAGTCTAACCGGCGATCAGACAAGAACGCCGTCGTTTGGTATCCCTCCGCCGGCGGGGAGTTTAATTGCTGATTTCTTGGACCCCACAGTTGATTACTTTATGGGCTTTAGTGCCAATGCTGAGTTGCAACAGGGTTTAATCCGGGCCCACCAGAATAATGGGGCCCACCAGAATCTTAATGTGGGTCCGGGTATTCGGGCAGACATTCTCCGACGAATGTATCCATGGTACCTGTACAGTGATGAGTGCTGGAGATGGAACTATGACGTGGCAAACTACAATGGCTTGCATAACAAGGAACCCATTCCACAGTTCCCAATTCTGCCATGTTCAAACCAGAATTCTAGTATTATCTCAAACGGTGTTTCTTATAACTATAACTGCACGGCTGTACCAAGTAATTTGAAGAATAATCAATCTGTTTTATTGGGTGATAATGATTTGAGAGGAAAAGTGGTTGCTTTAGCAAAAGATCAACAAGGGAGCAAAATGCTACAGGCTAAGCTTGAGAAAGGAAATAAGGAAGAAATTGAAGTTGTACTTAGCGAGGTGATTGATTGTGTTACTGATCTGTTAAAGAATCAGTCTGGGAGTTACGTTATTCAGAAGCTTTTTGTTGTTTGTAATGAGGAGCAGAGGACTACTATTATTCAGGCTATAACCAGAACTAACCTCCAGTTTGTTAATATATGTTTCAGCCAACATGGGTACGTGTGATAATGTATGTTTAAATTAATTATCTTTTTTATTAATATATCTAAGTTTAGTTACAATGGTGTTTAACAGGGCTCGAGCAATGCAGAAATTGTTGGAGAACCTTAGTACTCCGCAGCAAACGTCGTTGATAATATCAGCTTTAACTCCAGTTGCTGTTGCATTGGCCAATGATCAAAGTGGTCATCATGTCTTACAATATTGTGTCAAGACATTCTCTATTGAGTACACCAGGGTAAATAATACTATTGCTATCTCCAAATGAATCATATATGTGTTGTTTAATTGGATAAATATACTATGGTATTGTCATTTTCTTCCTGTGTATGCCCCACGTTTTATTAAATTATACTAATTGAAATTGAGGCTGCATTCTATGTGTCTTTAATAGAGAAACAGTTAAAATATTCATTTTTGTTCTCATTCTTTGGTACACGAGAATATACAATAGCTTCTGGTGTCAGTTACTGTATGTGGAGTGGTGGTATAAGACAATTGCTTTTTTCAACTAGTTACACTAAGCTTGGTACTTCATCTTAAAGTCCAAAAGTTCATTGGTCCTTTTGTCATGTTTACCAATGAATGGACAAAGATTAAGGTTATAGTTGTTAATAGAAATTAAGCATATGGACTGGTATTCTGAGTTAGGATAAGAAATGGGCAGCCTGGTGCAGAAAGCTCTATTGCATAAAAATATAAATTGTGGATCCTTCTCTTATCGAGATAATTTTACTGAGCCATATAGAGGAGTGTCTCAGACACATTAGCAATGTATGGGTTACTCAATTTATGCCTACATGGAATATTTAGTCTATGTAGGCAGTGGTGGATTCGGGGTATGAAATCTGGGGTTCGTTTCTTTATATAAAAATTTTCCTTGAATATTATTAGGAGAAATTTACAAACTTTAGTTCCAATAGCTATTGTGGTAGAAGACGCAACTAGGGTCATTGCTCAATAATAATGAAGCCCTTTGATGAATGGTTCTTCTATTTATACTTGTTTACCTCTTCTAGTTTTCTAGCCCCTAGAATATTTCAGGAAGATATTCGTCTAAGATAACCTTAGAGGATCCCAACCTACATATGCATAACGGACTTTTTTTTGTATATTTCACATTACTCTCTCTTATACATATATGGGATGCAGAACCCTTAGTCCATGCTGTTTGAAAGTATTTACTTTTAATGTAAGGATAGAGTATTTCAAGGATGGGCAAAACTGAATTTATAAAAGGGAGTGTGTTGGAAATCTTTTGGCGGATGATTGAGAAGAGAAATATTATTTCAGATATCTAAATGCCATAAAGAATATGTACAGACGGAGCCTTCACAACTCACAAGTGTGAGCATAGTGGGAGGATAACATAAGAGCTGCTCATCACCGTGTTTACACGAGGGATTTTCCCTGGTGCCTACTTGCTTTTGTGGATAATGCAAGTGAGATTCTGTGGTGCATGCTATTTATAGGTGATATTCGTTAATTAATGAAACAAGAGGAGTTAACCAAAAATGGAAACTACAAACACGTTTCCGGAGGTAAGTCAAAGTAAGACAGATAAATGCGCAAGAAGTTTTCCCCCAGTAAGATGAATGTGAAGGTAAAGTGAGAATAGACGAAGATTACAGTGCCTAAATGAAGAAAAATTAGATACTTAGGCTCTGTCTTCTAGGAGAATGACATGATAGGTGAAGATTTAACGCATAATATTAAAGCAGGAGGGCTGAAAGAGAGGAGTATCACAGCAGTAGTATGCAATAAGAGAGTACCTGAGATTAACAATGTTATATGAGAGTGATTATTTAGCCCTTAAAGTTTAATATATCCACAAGATGAATGTCGTTGAAATACATATACTAAGATGAATTTTTGATCACATAAGGTACTTGGCTGTTGTAATTTTGATGTACAAATTACTTAACTATCTTACTGTTCAGTTGATTCCCCATTATTAAATTTACTTACTGATAGAGGAAATATGGATGCACAATGATCATACCCATCAGAGCGTGCAAACACACGTAGAGGATAAAAAAAATGGTTTAGTTATGTTTTATGTAGACTTTCATTTGCACTAAAGTTCCTCAGATGCAACACTTGATAGTTGAAGGTGACAAAAAGGGCGAGATAGATCAAATATCACAAGATATAAGTCAGTCAAAAAAAATTACAGTCTGCAGAAATCAATACGGATTTAGCTAAGAGCTCAATACAATGGAAGTAAAGAATACATATAAGTGAGACCAAGAGTTGTTTAAGATTTGGTTGTTACTGTTACACTTTAAGTTCATTGTTTATTAGGAATCTTCTTTTGATTAGAAACTTTGTATTTCAATTTCGAGATAAGTATGAACGTTTTAGTTTTAGAGAAACTCTACTTTGCCTTGAAATATAAATTAATATTTTGTAATGGAATGATATTGACCTGAATAGAGCTTAATGGATACAGAGAAGTCATGTAGCTGGCTCCTTCCAATTTGAGATTAGAGGTCAGTTGATTGATTGATTGTGTATTGACGGACCAGCTAACTTTTTACTCTGTGTAGACGGTTAGATCCAATTAAATTTCACATGAGACTTGTGGAAAAAACTGTAAAGACGAAAAATCGAAATATACACACACATTCATACATATATTGGTTTCAAAGAAGCAGTAGGCACAATAGAATGTATATTCTTGCTGTTTCCAGTAATTGATCTTACACCAGCTTCTGTTATTCTTTTTCTACTAGCAGTCTCAGAATATTTCTGTCAGTAACCATTTCTGTAGAAATCTTTTCCGCTGTACTAACTCTAGAATGGCATGTCAAAACCCCCCTCCCTTAAAGCAAATGCCATCTGAAGAATTAACCTGTCTAAATTAAGTTTGATACACCATAGACATGTGATCTGCGATCACTCCTTTTCTTCATCCTCATATTCCTTTTCTTTTTTAAAGTTGTCCATCTGCAGATTGGGGCACTTGCTCAGCGCAATCTCCAAAGCTAAACTAGTATTTCGTTATCACTTGAGTTGGAAGCTGTCATTTAAGGCACTGAGCTGCTTTCCAAGTCTCTCCACAAGTTCGCATTGTGCACAAATTCCTCAAGACTAGCGTTTTTTCTTTTCTTGCTTGCCTATATTGTTTGACTGTAATTTATATAGATGCTTTATTCATATTAGTGCAGAATCAATAGACCACTTGCTAACAAACTGCCTCATGCCCCTCTTCTTTGTATAAACTGCTAGGTTCTTTCCCGTGTTTCCTGCCTCTTCCGTTAGCTAGCTGAGTGCTCCTGTTTAACTTAGGCTTCTGGCTTAACCAACTTTCTCACAATTGAACTGCATGTTGCAGCATCTTCTCAATGAAATTGCAAATAACTGCTTTACAATTGCAACCCAAAAAAGTGGGTGCTGTGTGCTGCAGTCATGTGTAGAATTCTCTCATGGAGAACTCAGAGATCGCCTTATAACTGAGATCTTAACAAATGCAGTGCACCTATCAGAAGATCAATACGGGTATGCCCCATTTTCTCTTTTGCCGGTTCTTATGTAATGTGTAGTGTCAAGTTGCTATATAGGTCTCATTGCTTTTACGTTCCATTTCATTTAGCAACTATGTGGTGCAACATCTTGTGGGACTGAAGTTACCAAGAGTTACAGAAACTTTACTGGAAAGGCTTCAAGGAAGCTTTGTGACTCTCTCATGCAATAAGTATGCTAGTAATGTTGTTGAGAAAATTATCCTCGAGTCAGGAGAAGTGCACTCCACTAAAATTATCGCCGAGTTGCTCAGAAGCCCAAGTGCTTCAATGCTCCTAGTGGACCCTTATGGTAACTTTGTCATCCAAACAGCATTGCGAGTTTCAAAGGTAAGTTTACTTCACTAAATTCCTTGAACTTTGATCCTGCTTCTCGTATATGAAACAAAATGAGCCACCAACCTTCTAGCCTTTAGGGGTACTCTTTTCCTCAGCTATGGTTACATGTTGTAAACATTTTCACATAATAGGCTTGACTATTATGAGCTATTTAAACTTGTAAGATTTGTAGATAAGCTGAAGGGCAACTGCAGCTGGAGCTTTAGCTAATTCAATTTGCCTTAATGACACGTTTAGTATATTAGATTGATGATGCATGTCGAAAAGTTGTGCCAAGCTATGTTGTTTAAGTTCCTCCCAGCAGTATATTTCTGAGTAGCCCACGATTTACATTTTAAAACAAAATTTGATGGCATGATCAAGAGTTGTTCTTCTATCAGGGAGGTTTGTTCCTACTGTTATGATTTTCGTGTTTAGTTTTAGCTAATATATATGAAGATTATGTTCTACTGCCTGGAATATCTCCCTGCAGTATAAGGGTACTAGGAGACCTTTACAAATGTAAGAACCAACCAATCAAAAAGAGTACTTACTAAAGTAAAGAGCTTCGGAAATAGACCTATGAGTAGGTAGTGGATGTGATGATCCTTCCTATGTGCTTCAGTGATAAGCTTTGGCACCACCGTTGGATCTCATGAAAGCTTTGGCCCTGTCCTATGTTCTTCTTTCTTTTTCTTCTCCGGGGAAAATGCTATAGCAACCGAACATGGTAATCAAATCATATGATGTTAGTGTAAGATCTATATTTTAGGCCTTATCTGACTTGCATATTCTGTAGAGATGAAGATGCAATTTATCTTCTTGTCAACCTTTCTCAGTGCCCTACTCTTGTGACATGAAGAAGCTATAAAAGCAATAGATTGGTGCAAACTTCTGTCCGTGCACAGAGTATGTTAGAAGAGTGCCTTGCTAATTATCCTATATTTATATCAAGCCGTAGGTGTTAGGTGTGAAATAATGCATTATCGGATCTCAAGAGACTGTTATAGAGGAAAACCTTGCTGAATTTAGGATCTGTTCTTAGTTTAAAGTCAGGTTGGAGACAGGCTTCTGATGAGTACATGTGGCCGAGACAGGCAAGAATAGCAAAATTGATCTGCTTTCCATTGCAAAACATCAACCCTATTTTGACGAGTTAGATTATGTCCCCATATTTTACTCCTTTCTGTTCATGATAGTTTCACATGTACAAATTCAAACTACTAAATGACAGTAAGCTTCTGTAGACTCACAAACTACTGAAAAACAATAAGAAGTTGGTATTATTTCCTCTTTTGAAATCAAAGTCTTGTATCATAACCTATCTTAGATTTCCTTTTTGCCTAAACCTCAGTATCACTCAGACAATGTTGATATTCTATATTGTTTGTTTAATATCCATATCGCCAGCTAATATAACAATTGCATTTGTTATTTTTTACTGAGCAGGGCCACATCTTCAATGCTCTCTGTAAACTAATCTACATGAATTCTGCATCAATGCAAAGTAACATTTATGGGAAGAAGATCCTTGATCGGTTGTGTAGCAAGAAGGAACCTCTACATTGTACAAGATTGTACAAGCGACAGGTATAGTTAACTCGGGAGTAGTTGACAATGTGCCTTACATTTTTCTGATGGAATTTTCGGGTTTAGAAGCATCTAGTATCGTGGTTCTATCGTATGTTGTTTGTTTTCTATGTACGTTAGTGATCTGAACTTGTAGGATCATAAAGCGGAGTATGCATGCGAGCCTCTTCTTAGCGTACTGTATATTTTTTGGTTCTATCCATATTGGTTGTTATATAATATATATAGGGCTTGTAAGCATTCTTGAATAAGTAAGTACCTTACAATATTTCATTCTTTGCTGAATGTAATTGCAGTTAGAAATATTTCTTTGACAGCTCTCACCTTTTACATGGCCAACAATGTGGGTGAACTGCATTCTATTTCTGCTAGTTGAGATCTCAACTCAGCACCCTCATCTTAATTTTTTCATAAGTTTTAGGTGCTTTTACTATTTTTAAAACCCTTTTAGAGACCAAGACGAGGGGTCATCTTCTGCAGCCCTTGGGCTCAAGAATCTGTCTCCCACACTATCATTCTGATTTCTTTTAACTTCCATGTGATTATGTGATCTCAGAGCTTCAAATTACTTAACTGTTCGATGAATGATATTTGACTAGTGCCTCGTGCTATTGCTGCCCTGCTCTATTCAACCTACACTACAACTTCAGGTGACTACTTGTTAGATCAGATGTTCCTGATTTATATTATTTGAAGAAATATATACTTATATTAACCTCGCATCTGCTGTCACAAAAACAAAAACAAAAACAAAAGGTGGTGATTGCAGCCAGCGGTCTCATGAATCTATTTAGACTAAGATAGTGATCGCATCTGTTTAGGGTAGTTTTTGGATGAAATTTTTTCTTCCACTCACAAAACGTCAACTTTCTTTTCAAATAAAATTATTTTCAACACACCTATTTTTTTTCTTTTTTCAAGTTTCAATCAAATCTATAACTAAATGTTTGCTAAGTGTTGGACAAATTCTCCTAACCTGGCATGCATTGCGTGGAAGTAAAGGAGAATCCACCCCTTAAGTCACATCTTTCTGTATTAGAATTGAAGTAAAATAGAGGCCCCATATTTGAACAAATCAGTCCTTGGTTTTAACGAGTCAGAGAACCATCTGCTATATGTTTTATGGTGGTTCATATTCAGAGTAGTCTGCTCATTTTCTAACTACGTCAGAGACCCCAACAGGCACATGGCGCATTGAATACACAATACGGCAGCGCATTTTTTGACTTTGCCAAATACTAAAAAGAAGGTAAAATCTGATTTGATCAGCTAAAAGCCAGTCCAAACACCCCCTAAATCAATAGATACATCCCTACGATACTCTCCCCATGAGATACAGTTGAAGGTGCAGATGGCCATATTGTAGACAGTGAACACTAACTCTCTTTTTTTGACCTTAACATCTATTTTTAAAGTGAATCCGACTAATTCGGATTCTCATGTAATATGATACACTAAAAGGACAAAATCATTCTCTTCCAAGGTAATGCACAACCGTGAGATGAAGGAAATAGTTGCTCTAAGCTAGCAACTGCAAATTTTTGTAAAATTCAAAACCCAGTACATTTAAAATGTAAAAATGACCAACTTATTGATGGAACAGAGCAGCAAAATACATAAGAGAGCTCAAAAGAGCCCCCATTTATTAATCTTCACACAATATATGACTAACATACCTAGAAAACACTGATATTTAAAGAGGAATGGACCACTGGGATTTCTGCATTATATATATGAGACTTGGTAAAAAGAACAGTGAAATTCAAGGGCATTTAGGCTTGCCCTTATTATTTTTCTTGTCCCTGTAACAAGGACACTCGTGTTTGTTACCATAAGTTCCAGAAGGCACACACTTGCATTCTTCGCAACAAATTCCACAATACTTCAAACATCTGTCCATAACTCCTGCCTTTGCACATCTCAACTTGCACTTTGAATCACAATAACCTTACCACACAAAAAAAACTCATCATTAGACCAACAAACAACGACAATAACAAACCCAGTACAGTCCTATAACGGTATAAGTGGGGTCTGGGGAGGGTACTCTGCAGCAGAGCTGGAGGTAGCATAGGGCTTGCGGGTTCGATAACTTTGGTCCAAATCATGTATTTATCTTAAAAATTCATTAAATATGTCTAAATTGTTAATTTAGAATCCAGTAACATAAACGAAGCAGAATCCCGAACCCATAAGCTTTAAATCTTAGCTCTGTCTCTCTCTGTGTGTACGCAAACCTTACCCCTACCTTGAAATAGAGTAGCTGTTTCCGGTCAATTCATCATTAGACCAGTAAAACATAAACAAAAAGAAAGAAAGAAAAAAGAGAGGCTGAAACTTTAAGAAATAGTTACTTACTTGAACCAGCCATAGTGGTTTGGATAAAAGAAGGGGTAAGAACAAGAGTGAGCAAAAGCAGAGTTGTAAGAAGTAGCTTCATCTTACAAGAGTAATGTAATGTTTAATATGCCAAGAGAGGAGTAGAGAATTGATCAAGTGAAGTATTAAATAGTTCTAAAGGGGGATATATAGCCCGGAGAAAAGTTGGTACAGTCCACTAAATATGTATTTTCTACCTAATTTAAGTAAACAGTGGGGGAGTTCACATCAATAAAACTCATAATTTATTTTATGTCAATCCAATAAATATACGTTAAAAATGTATTATTAGACAATTCAAGCAAATACTGGGAGTTCAAACAAAAATAATTTATTCAGATAATATTGAAGAATTAACCCAAATAGCCGTTCATCTAACCGCTTAAACTAAAAATAATCGGTGAATAATATATAAATAATTCACATATTATATAGGTATAATCGTATATAATTAATGTATATAATATAATATATGGCTAAGAAAAGCAAATAATAAATATGACCTATTATTTGTGTAAAAATCCCAATACACTATTCGTATGTTATGTGTTTATCGGAATGTTATAAACAAGAGGTGAGTCAACCCGGAGGGTGTACTCTAATTAACATACCAATAAAAATCTGGGTAAAAGAAACTCTTTTGTACTATTTGTACATCATGTCCCTTTATAATTTTGAATTTAAGAAAATGATCTTTTTAGATTTCTTATGTGTAAAAGAGAGATGACTTACGTGTAAAATAAATCTCCCATGTAACAAAAAGAGATAGAATCATAAAACTTAAAATAAATTTGTAAAGAGCCAAAAGACCAATTGACCCGAAACTTTTGGACCAGGACTTGGATTGGAGATCACGCAGACAATGATCAATAAAGGGCTTTTAACGTATAAATAATAATTAGATTAAAAGCATATTCTCCATATTATATGTTAATATAAGAAAAAATCGATTATTTTTTTGGAAACGACTGTACTGTATACAAATTCCATCAACGAAGCCATTGTTTCTTTAATGAAAAAACAAAAAAGATAAAATTAAGAGACGAGTTAATCAAATAAGGGACTTAAAATTGAGTGGACCTAAAAGTATCAATAAGGGAAGGTTTCATCTGAAGAATATTTGATAAATGAATTTCACATATGGGAGATTTGAATTTGTGTCGGTATAAATGTTATTTATTTAATACGGTTATATTCACAAATTATTTTTTTTGTAGTTTCTCTGTTCAAATTGTAACTCGTCACAGCATTTCTACTTGATCTTTCCTTCACATTTTCCGAACCAAATTAATTAGTTACTACTTGCATGGGATAAGGATCACATCACAGTGTTGTTTTAACGAAGAACGCTGACTGGGCCGTTGGATTTTGATTCCACATTAAAGTCGGTTGAGTTAATTAATAGCACGCGGTTACACCAAAATTTAGGTTTTTGTCTTCTTCGTCTACAATTGCCTTGTTTGGGCATATTTGCAAGCTGGCTTATTAAGGTTTTGATGGATTTTTGTCCAATAATCAATATCAGTATTGCCTTTATTGGAGTTATTTTGGTTAAAGGTGACATGACATATATTGTATAGCTAATGTCACCACGAGAACTGATCAAGATTTGCCCAACTCACCACACAAGTCTCCACTTCTGTGTAAAGTGCATTAGGTGTAGAAATAACTAATTCCGGAGAAAGATAAAATGTATACAGATTTTATCCCTAACTTGTGTAAGCAGGGACGGCTCAATGAATCTCGTGGCCTAAAGCGAAACCATATTGAGAGATTCTTAAAATTATTTTATAAAATATTTACATTAACAACAAAATTTGCTTTCTAAATAACAAAATAGGAAGAAGAGCACAAAAAAGTGATGGACTATCGGTTGAGGTCCACAAATTTTAATTTAGCTATCATCACAAAAAAAAAAAAAAGAAAAACATGCATAACGTGATAGCTTAAGGTTTGAGCATGAATGGTGTCAAAATAAAATTTACTCCTTACTTAATAGTTCATTCTATTAAGTAGCACTTATTGGTGAATATCTAAAATAAATTATAAAATAACCTAATAATAAGTTTAATTGCACTAAAAGAAAATCGGTGCATGAATACTTTTATGTTAATGCAGTTTCAAAGAATATTGTAAAAGAATTCATTATGTTGTCGATATATAACTTAATTCCTATATAAAAAGGATAAAATTAAAATTGAAGAGTGAAGCTAATATACTAATTAATTAGTAAAGAAAATTATCATAATTTATAAACTTATTGGTATAAAATAACCTCAATCAAATAATAAAAAATATACTGTAATACTTTTTTGTATAGTAATTATTTATGTAAATTATATAATATATAGTAGTAGTAATAATAATAAGAATTTAAAATAAATTTGAGGTCTTCAAATTTTTGTGAGCAACAGCCTCACTGCCCAAGCCTCTGTGTGTGAGATAAAGAAATTGTTTGAGACCCTCAGTTTGATAACTTTGCTTTCTTGTTTTTTTTTTTTTTTAAATAATAGTGGTAGAATAATATTTTGCATTTATTGTTTTATGATCTACCTCTGCTTATGTGACACGTTGAGAGCTATCAAACTACTAGTCCGATCATCGATAAAGCTACTTTGTCCGAGGGGAGTAAGCTGGCACCCTTTTGTCCGAATATAATCTAAGTGGGCGTTTGGACATAAAAATTTTAAATTTTCAAAAAAAGGTAAAAAGAAGTTTAAGTGAAAATGATATTTGAAAATTAGAGTTGTGTTTGGATAGGAATATAATTTTGGGTTGTTTTTGAAGTTTTGTTAGTGATTTAAGTGGAAATTTTGAAAAACAGCTTTTTGGAGTTTTTTAATTTTTCAAAAATTCTAAAATTCATCTTCAAGTGAAAATTAGAAATTTTATGGCCAAACACTGATTTTATATATATATATATATATTGGCTTCATCATTTGTTTACTTCTTTATATTTTAAATTTTTTTTCGGGAGAAGAATTTTGACTCCGATACTAAATCAAATTAGGTTTCGAACTTGCTCATTGACGAGCGCAAAACACAACATTAAATTGATGCTCGCTAGCCAAAGAGTACAGTTTAATTATCGTCTCCACAGAACCGCGACACAAAGAAAAATCAAGGGGGAGTTGTTACACTACCTAAGAAAAATAAAATCTTTTTTTCTTCGACTTTGATCCCTCAAGAAGACAATCGAGGAACTCCATCGTCGGGAAAAATCAATCAAAAGAAACAAGAACAAACACACATATACCTATTTACATCCCCCTCCCCACCCTTTAAATTGTGGCACGTCCCCATGACACACAAATAAAAAGCAAGAGGTGAAGAAAACTCCCCTGAATTTTTTTCTTTTCCGAGAACTTATGAACTCCATCCCTAATTCCGAATTCATTCCTCGTTTTCGCTCCTTGGAATTACTTATGGAGCTCATCAGGCCAAAGTCATATGAAGATATTTGCAAGACCCGCTCTTTTCTTTCTTTCTTGGGCTCTTTTTGAGCGGTAAATTGTCCATGTAGGATCATCCTCAACTTGTTCCTGCATTCTTTTACAGGATCAATCCATCCATTTTCCTGTAAATCTCCAAAAATAAAATCCACATGATTAAGGTTAGAATAAGAAAACAAATAAGAAAGGTCACGAGAATATTCCTCTGGTATGTCCAAGACCAATTATTTCTCATTCTCTTGCAATACAGGTTGTAAATGTGCAAAAGGTAGATGGAGGTAATTTGAACTCTTCTTTTATTGCTTCGCAATCAACCAAAGCCTCATCTTTAATCATCTCAATTGAATTATAGTCTTCTTCCATAGCGGGAAGTTCTCTCTGTAAATCCTCTTCCTCTTGGGTAGGCTCATTCTCATAGGGTATTTCCTCCATATATTCACCTTAACAATGCAACGAGCTTTCTGAAAGTATACTTACTATTTGACTCACTTGCGTTTTTAGGTTCTTAATGGCTTCATCATTTCGCATAAATCTCTCTTCAACACTATTCATGAACTTATACATAAGCTCTTCTAAACTACCATTCTCCTCTTGATGTGGTTGTCTCACTTCGCTTTCGTTCCAGTCATAATCAGAGTACTTGTCACGCCCCCTTTTTCCTCGCGGAGTTCGGGTTTCGATATTTTGAGATAACTCCTTTCCTTTTGGGAATTGGGTAAGAGATTTGAAGAGTCGCCACCTAACGGATTAAGGTGCGTTAGGGAACCTAGAGCAAATAACTCATGAACTAGTTTACATCACCAGAGATTGGGTAAGGGCTCGAAATTACCTTGAGGGGAAGGTGTTAGGCACCCCTCGAGGTCCACAACGGTGGGTCCCGGCCAAACTCAATTTAAGCGAATTAGTCTTATAAGCAGATAAACAAACAGATATTACTTTTAAAACAAGGAGTAAAAGGGGTCCTAGGTTTTTTAGCCTATAGGATCACTTTTGTGCAATACTTGGTAATCGTCCCCAAGCTGGGGTGCTACACATAGCATTAGCGCACAGGTCATCATTTCCTTTTACTACCCATTACCCTTCCCTTAATTATTACCTAAGCGTTCTAACGACATCGAATACGTATCCTATGCGTGCACTACCCGTCCCTTACCTACGGCCCTGGAGGTGTTTAGGACCTCTATTTAAGGTGGTTCTAGACTCACCTATGGTGCTTAAAAGAAAAAAACTAATCGACAAACAAAACAAGTAGGACTGTCACATAGAAGATCACTTAAGGGGCTCATGTTTACCTCCACAAATAGACAAACAGATGCACACTATTCAAACAAGCGGTTTTAAAACGATTAGGGTCCTATAGGCAGGATATCTAAATGAGCACGGAATATGCAGCAGTTTTATTAGGGCGAGGCAGTGAATACTTATCAATTTGCCTAATGATTTTTATCACTTACTGAAGCTGGGCCCGTTTATAAGCAGTCAAACAAACACAGTTTTAATTGTCTTACAGGCTTGCCTAGGTGATAACCGGGCAGAATCCTATAGACATGGTATCTACACGTTAATCCGCTCGCAATTATAAACCAGTAATTAATTTAAACAGCCAGATTTTTTTATCCTTTAGACTCTATAGGCATGTTTTCTAGGTGCTGAAACTGATTACAAGTGTTATTTCA